CATTGTTGCACCGCACTTCATCCTGAAGGGATTGCGTGCATTGGAGAACGCAAAAAATTTCTTCCCTTAGGAGGTCGTCTCAACTGGAAATGTGGAGAACAGCAACCCCCAATTTCGCGTCAGGAAGCCGTCGCCTGGCAGTTGCTTGCACAACTTGGTTGCGTACTCGCCTCTCAGGGTGCCAATGATGGCTTCTCCGCTAGTACAGAATTTGTCAGTCCGGATGCACAATTGTTTCAGATATGCAACCGTTTTGGCATTCCTTGCAAGCTGACTGAATTGGCCGGATTTCAGTTTACCCAAAGTGGACCCCCAGCTCTTCAAGTCAGTCTTCTTTTGTTCTCGCGTTTGCTTTAACTCGAATTGATGCTGGGTTTCAATAAGTACGAAAGCAGACATTTTTGAAGAGAATGAGGTGTCGAAACTATTTTAGGTACTTAAGGGTGTCTTTTCACCTTGTAGACAAGAAAATTTCATAAGCGCTTGGACACGAACTGTGCGTTCTTACTGCAAATAGGTGGGACTCATTTAGGTTCCCTTCATTTGCCAACTGCTATTGGTTTGCAGAAAGGCTACTGGGCGTCAAACAAAGGGCCAATTCGTTTGGAATGCCAACACAACGGCAGAGGTGGTTGCTTCTTCTCTGCTGCTGCGAGCAGGGAAGCTTGCAGAAGAGGTTTGGTATTGTATGTTTTACGAGGTCTTCCAGATTTTGCAAAATGATTTCCTTCCATCGGAATTGTGTACGACAATAATAGCCCTGTTGTGGAACGTCGTAATTACTTAAATTTTCTCTCATACATCTACTTTCATATTTGTATTGGGAAAGTTGGAAAAGGGGTACTTATTTCGTTTTATAAGCCCGGCAATTTAGGAGTCTTTAACAAATATGATGGTAAGGTATTCATGGTGTTTGTGTGGTCTGTTAGGGAAGCCAGTTTCGTTAGACTACCTCTATTAGTGCCTTCAATGTCTGGGCTTTGAAATTAGCTACTGAATACAGTGACTTGATTTTGAATTACTTGGTTGTTAGTCTCAAAGGTAGGTCTAACGGTTTCAAGGGAACATTTGCAGGAATGTCTCATGCAGAGCACCATGACCAACCGTCAAAATTTAAACCATCTGTTTTTGGC